CCCCCCCCCCCCTCACCCGCAAGGACGTACGCGTGGTGCCCCGGGACGAGTGTAAATAGATCGTTATAGATCATGCGGTTATAGATCATCTCTCTCGCTCTCTCCCGCTCTCTCTCTTGGTCTCTTTCGCTCTCTTCCGCTCTCTCTTGGTCTCTCTCATATTCTCTCTCGCTCTCTCTTGCTCTCTCTCATATCCTCTCTCGCTCTCTCTTGCTCTCTCTCATACTCTCTCTCGCTCTTTCTTGATCTCTCTCGCTCTCTCATATTCTCTCTCGCTCTCTCTCATATCCTCTCTCGCTCTCTCTTGCTCTCTCTCGCTCTCTCTTGATCTCTCTCGCTCTCTCATATTCTTTCTCGCTCTCTCTTATATTCTCTCTCGTTCTCTCTTATATTCTCTCTCGTTCTCTCTTGATCTCTCTCGCTCTCTCTCATATTCTCTCTCGCTATCTCTTGATATCTCTCGCCCTTTCTCTCTCTCTCTCTCTCATATTCTCTCTCGCTATCTCTTGATCTCTCTCGCCCTTTCTCTCTCTCTCTCTTTCTCTCATATTCTCTCTCGCCCTTTCTCTCTCTCTCTCTCTCTCTCTCTCTACTATCTTTCTCTCTCTAACTCTCTCTTTCGCACTCTCTCTCTCTCACTCCCGTTGCAACCGTGTTCGCCACATTGGAAAGAGGCGGGCGCCTAGATATCGCGGCGAATAAAGAAACGGGCCAGCATCGAACGTCGGCGATCCCGACACGCCGAGCGATTCCGAACAATTTTTCCTCGGCACGAAGAGTGGATCGATGGTCTCTTGGAAGACGAACACACCGCCCGGGGAACAAGAGGCTTGCACGCGGAATACATGAATACGAGATATCCAGCAGCCCTCTCCCCTCCTCCCTTCATCCGAGGGTTCATTACGATTTCCGCGAAGCGTATCCGAGGCATCGTGCGCGACTCTCTGCATCTGCTCGTCCTCTCTCTCCTCGGCACACAGGTAGCTTATGATCGATTCAATTAAAATTGATTTCCACTCGTCAGGATACATCAAACAGTACCGATCTCTCCGCGGCCCCCTCCTTCCCCCCCGCTCTCTTCGCCAGCGCCGACTCAGGGGGTCGTCCCTCAATGCGCCTCTTGTTTCGTACTTTTTTCCCCCTTGACTTCGGTAAAAAGCATGATTCCGCGATTCGAAACCGAGTTATAAATATTCAACGGTAGTCAAAGACGAGAGCGTCGTTGCAGACTCACGGCGCTACAGTGGGGGCCGGGGGCGGCCCGCCCCTCGCCTAACCAGTTTTGTTCTTTTGTCAGCGTCGTCATTATATTTCCCGCCTCCAATTTCTCTCCCGTCCCATTTCTGTATCTGCCGCCCGATTCTGTTCGCATTTGCGCGGCCGTGTGGCATCCACGCGTAACGACTTCGTTCCCTCTCTCTCTCTCTATCTCTCTCTCTCACTTTCTCTCGCTCTCAGTCGCCCTATCTCTAACTCTCTCTCTCCCACTCTCTCTCTCACTTTCTCTCGCTCTCAGTTGCCCTATCTCTAACTCTCTCTCTCCCACTCTCTCTCTCTCTCTCTCTCTCTCTCATTTTCTCTCTAACTGTCTGTCTAACTCTCTCTCTCTCTCTCTAACTCTCTCTAATTTTCTCTCTAACTGTCTCTCTCTCTCTCTTTCTCTCTACACTCTCGTAGTCTAACTCTCCCTCTCTCCATCTTCTCCTCTTCGTCTCCTTTTAATCCTTGATCCTTCTCTCTCTCTCGTTCTCTCTCTCTCTCACGGTCTCTCTCTCTTACTCGCTATCTTCTCTCTCTAACTCTCTCTCTAACTCTCACTCTCTAATTCTCTCTTTAACTCTCTTTCTTCAACTCTCTCTCTCTCTCTCCCTCTCTCTTTTCTTCTTTGTCTTTATCTTTGCCTCCTTTCAATCCTTACCTCTTCTCTCTCTCTCTCTTTAACTCTCTCTTTTACTCTTTGTCTCTATCTCTGCCTCCTTTCAATCCTTGATGTTTCTCTCTCTTTCTCTCTCTTTAACTCTCTCTCTCTGTTTTCCTCTTTGTCTTTATTCCTTTGCTCTTTATTTTATGTTATTGTCCTTTTATTGTCCTATTGTCCTTTATTTTATGTTATATTATTTTATTTTATTATTATTATATTATATATTATTGTCCCTTTATTCCTTTATCCTTTTGTCTTCTTTCAATCCTTGATCCTATCTCTCTCTCTCTCTCTCCCTGTCTTTAACTCTCTCTCTTTTTCTCTTTGTCTTTATTTCTGTCCTCTTTCAATCCTTGATCCTTCTCTCTCTCTCTCTCTCTCTCTTTTCCTTCCTCTTCGTCTGTATCTCTCTCTCTCTTTTTCTTCCTCCTTGTCTGTATCTCTCTCTCTCTCTCTTTCTCTCTGTTTCTCTCTCCCTCTATTTCGACCGCGCGCGCTCGCGCGATTCCGGCACGCGGCCTTTCGAAAATCTGTTATTAGCATCGAGACACCGCCATTATGACGTCTCGCGATTCCTGACAAACACTCCGTCTTCGGTCCGAGCCGCACGCGCGTTTACATATTATTCGAGGGTGCAACGGTGGCACACGCGCCGCCACGCTCCCTTTCACCGCCCATTCACCCACGCGTACGTGTCCCTACACCCTGTCTGCTGCGCCGCTTCTATCCTTTCCTGTCGCCCGTCGATCCTGATTTCCTCAAACGACGAGGTAAACGACCCTATTCGATTGCCTCGCGCAACTATTATTGTTTCGTAGTACCGACTCCTGTCAACACTCGCATGGCGGGCCACGGGTCCGTTCGGACCCAAAGGATAAATGTCATTAAGCAATTGCTGTACTTTCTATACTATACATATTACTAATGTTCGCATTCTTGTGGCAAAATGTCTAAATACAAAATACATTTTGAAGATTCGCTTCGGTTAGGGTGTCCCAAAATTATGGTACTTCCGGGAAATGAGGGGTTCCTGAGGTCATTTGAAGCAACTTTTTCCTTTGCGAAAATGCGATCCGCGGCTTCGTTTACGAGTTATTAATGAAAAACAGTGACGCCCCGCTCTCGCTACCACTGCCGCCGCGTCAGACGGCCAGCGCGACGCGGCATTGGCCGCGAGGCCGAAGCGCCGGCCGTGCTCGCCTCTTATTGGTCACTGTTTCTCGCTAATAACTCGTAAACGGTGCCGCGGAGCAAATTTTTGTAAAGGAAAAAGTTGCTTCAAATGATCTCAGCAAGCCCCCATTTCGCATTGCGAGAAATTTTTGCGTGTTTATCTGTTTCTGTGCTCACGACGTTACCTAAACTGACGAGTCGTCCGTCTGATTTTCCAGGCTTCCAGAGGGGATACTATCAAGGGGGATACGAGAGCTCCAGACCAGTCCAGGCCATGCCGTCCATGCCGATCCCAGGACCATGGGCCAGCGGTTGCATTCCCAATAACTACCAGCGTTACCAGCATCAGGACTATCAGCAATGGAATAACTACAGCACTCAGCCGTACGGGCGAAACAATTACCAGAGTATGCAGTACAATAGCTACCCTCAGCAGCAATGGGTAAGATTCTCATACTTTATATTCAATGGCAGCAATCAGCGGATCGTCCCTGTTCGCCGGTTAAATGTGTGCCGCGAAACGCTCCGCGCTCACGTCGATAGATGGGACATTTGAATATTTATCAGTTGTTCTCTCTTTGACGGCGGTGACTTGCAGCCACTCGACAGTGCAGACCTGAAAAGTCGGCCGTATATGTTACAACGTTGTTCGATTGCCGATTCGTGAAAGTCCGTAAAGGGTGTACAGTTACTCGCGAAAAGTCAGGGGTACGCTTTTTAAAACCTTTGTAACCTTTTCGAAACTGGACTGAGCGACTTAAATTGTTCTTTTAGATGATCGAAGCTCTTGTTTTTTAACCTTTTTAACTGAGCCTATAACACACGTTTAAAAAATGCGTTNGGTCATTTGAAGCAACTTTTTCCTTTGCGAAAATGCGATCCGCGGCTTCGTTTACGAGTTATTAATGAAAAACAGTGACGCCCCGCTCTCGCTACCACTGCCGCCGCGTCAGACGGCCAGCGCGACGCGGCATTGGCCGCGAGGCCGAAGCGCCGGCCGTGCTCGCCTCTTATTGGTCACTGTTTCTCGCTAATAACTCGTAAACGGTGCCGCGGAGCAAATTTTTGTAAAGGAAAAAGTTGCTTCAAATGATCTCAGCAAGCCCCCATTTCGCATTGCGAGAAATTTTTGCGTGTTTATCTGTTTCTGTGCTCACGACGTTACCTAAACTGACGAGTCGTCCGTCTGATTTTCCAGGCTTCCAGAGGGGATACTATCAAGGGGGATACGAGAGCTCCAGACCAGTCCAGGCCATGCCGTCCATGCCGATCCCAGGACCATGGGCCAGCGGTTGCATTCCCAATAACTACCAGCGTTACCAGCATCAGGACTATCAGCAATGGAATAACTACAGCACTCAGCCGTACGGGCGAAACAATTACCAGAGTATGCAGTACAATAGCTACCCTCAGCAGCAATGGGTAAGATTCTCATACTTTATATTCAATGGCAGCAATCAGCGGATCGTCCCTGTTCGCCGGTTAAATGTGTGCCGCGAAACGCTCCGCGCTCACGTCGATAGATGGGACATTTGAATATTTATCAGTTGTTCTCTCTTTGACGGCGGTGACTTGCAGCCACTCGACAGTGCAGACCTGAAAAGTCGGCCGTATATGTTACAACGTTGTTCGATTGCCGATTCGTGAAAGTCCGTAAAGGGTGTACAGTTACTCGCGAAAAGTCAGGGGTACGCTTTTTAAAACCTTTGTAACCTTTTCGAAACTGGACTGAGCGACTTAAATTGTTCTTTTAGATGATCGAAGCTCTTGTTTTTTAACCTTTTTAACTGAGCCTATAACACACGTTTAAAAAATGCGTTTCGCGGATCTCGATAACTTATATATAACTTATATATAATATAATATATTATCATTATATATTATACAAAATAAATATTATAAAATAATATATTATAATTATATACTATAATAATAATATATTATAATAATAATTATATTATAATTATTATATACTATAATAATAATATATAATAATATATAATGATAATATATTATATTATATATAATATATAATATAAAAAATTATTTAAGTTTCTCCCTCTCTCTCTGTCTATATATATAATAAAATAAAATAAAATAGTAAATTGATCAAATTGACTCGCTCCGGTAATCTAGTGTTAAAACAATATATGCATATCCTTTAATAGTCGGAACGCGGACGGTCGAAAAGTAGTGTCGAGTCGTATTCGACCCAACCTAAAAATTAGCGTACCCCAGACATCATGAAATAAAATATGGAAGGTTTCGTTGTCAGAAACGTTGTCAGTCGCCGCTGGCGAACTGTTAAATATCGGTCAAGGATATATAGGCGACTACGAGAGGACGTGCGTCAACTTTCTTTTTCATTGGTTAAATTAAGACTCCACAAGTTGCGCATCTTTGAATGATTCAATTGAAAACAAATAATTGTGTAGTCGACAATGGTCTCTATGCACGATTATACGAGCAGCTATATCACAAGTTGCTGAAAATCATTAAATATTCAGTTTTACCGTGCAATTGTTTATTTCTATACTTTCAATGTAATATCATATCATGATATTTCGTGTATTATATAATATAAAATATCACTTACGTTTCCACGTGACACCCGTATCGACTGAAATACTTATCGTATCGTGGCACTGTTATTGTCCATTGAAACGAATTCATCACCATTTGAAATTCATTTACTTAGTTTAATATATTACAGACGATGAACCCTTTGCAGAAGTCAGTTGCAAACAAAACTACACGGAATTTGCTTCTATAGCAACCTCAACGTGTCAACTACCAAAACTGAAAACAAAAGAATTATAACCTTAACAAAAGAACGACAATGCGAACGTAACGCTATCTATCGGTGCAAACCGAAATTACTTTCTTGCCAACCCAATACAATCTGCAATGACGATCGTCATAGAAAGAAGCTTCGTGAACAATATTTCTCGACGATTAAAAGCGAATACATTAAAAGCGGAAGGAGTTCTCTGTCTCTGATTCGATTTAATAGATAATAACAAAATGGTGACAAATTAAGGTTGACGATCAGTCAACCTAATATAATATTCACAAACAGGCAGAAACGCCTGACGAATCGTTTTCAGGAATTAATCTCGGGACGATCTCCCACTGTTTCAGAACTATTCTTCGAATTACCAAGGCAATGGTAGCGGCAGCGGTAGCGGTAGCGGCATCGCCAGAATCGGCGGCATCGACAATGGTAGCGGCCTTGTCAGTGGGATCAACAGAGGCATGGCCAGCGGTATCGGCAGTGGCAGCGGCATGGGCGGCGGTAGCGGCATCAGCAGAAGCAGCGGCATCAGCAGAAACAGCGGCACAGGCATCGGCAGAAACAGCGGTATCGGTAATGGCGGTGGCAACAGCAGAAGCAGTATCGGCAGAACCAGTGGCATGGTCGGTGGCATGGGCAACGGCATCGGCATCGGCAGCGGAAACGGTAGCAGGACTGGTCACAGGAGGGGCGGAGGAGGCGGCGGAGGGAGTGGTGGGGGAAGTAGTGGCGGCGGTGGCGGCGGCGGGTACAGGCGGTAAACGTGGAAGAGATATCCCGATCGTTCTCGACTGAGCACGTCGTCGATCACCGGATTGAGATAAGGTATATATATGGGGAATAAATTGGATCGCAAGAAAATCTGACGCTAGGACCAGAGATAATTGTCTCGTTGCGAGCAACAAATGGCCGTAACCCGCTCAAACCGTATAGCCCGAGCCTGACCAGATCGCTGGAATACGATCGTTTCCGTTTGCAAAACGAACGACGTTCACGATCTTCTTCTTCCGCTCTCGGTTGAATCGCGAGAAAAACAAAACAAAACAAAAAAAAAGAGAAAAAGAAAGAAATAAAGAAAGAAATAGGAGGCAACAACAATTTCGGCGACCAAAAATTGTGCATAATGTAATGTTATTTCCGCGTAATGGACACCGTAGAAGAGTGATCAACGTCCATCAAATAATCAATTAATCATCGCAATCTTTGAAATAAACGCGTACCTGTTCAAAGGAGAAGCTTAGTAAATTAGTTACGTAAGTTTTCGGCTGATATAGCTGGAGCGAAGACCGTTCAGAGCCACCGATGTTTATCCGACGACGATGCATAATATTTACAAATCGGTCGAATTATCCTGATTCGCGTTCTTTTACTTTTTATGGTGCGTTGTGTAAATAGTACCCCCCCCCACCCTCCCCCGACTCTCCGGACCGTGGACCCGGATCGTTAGAGATTTCAACGAGTTCTTTCGACTACGACGTAAGTTACAGTGATTCACAAAAGTGTTCGTGCACATTTTAAAACGCAATAATCGTTTTTATACTGAACTATATGACTCGAGTCTTTTTTTGGTGACAGAGGGTCTAGTCTTGTCACCGGACGATGATTAAAATCATTTTTTTTCTTTTTTTTCTTAAATTTTGCTATCGCTTGGAACGACGAAAAAGTAAAAGTCTATCGTTTTTTTAACTTTTTTTTTAGTCGAGCCTGTAACGAAAATTTATCAAATGTCTTTCGTGGATCTCGAGTAGCTTGTTGAACGCATGTTGAAGGTTCTCTCGAAAAATAAATCGGCGGTTTTTAAAATCGTCCAACGTAACTCGATTCTAACCTAATTCTAATGATTCTAATAACCTCGATTCTGATTTCGATGAAATTTTCAGCACGCGCACAGGTCACCGAGATCTGCGAAAGGCATTTTTTTAAATTTTCGTTACAGGCTCGGCTAAAAAAAAACATAAAAATCGAGGGTTCTCAACTTTTTCTTTTCACTCCAATTAATAACAAAATTAAAAAGAAGCTTTTTAGTTGTCGTCTAGAGTGAACCAGTCTCTCTTATCCAAAATTAAAAATTATCCCAAAAAAAATTCAAGTCATTTAATTCAATCTTGACAAAATTATCGCGTTTTAAAAAGTGGGCCACTTTTGTGGGCCACTGTGTCTCTGTGATCTAAAAAAGGTGTACCGCGATTGTAGGTAAAACTACGAGGGCCCCGTTCTCCCCCCCCCCCCTTCGCCCCTCCGTGTCTCGTTCTCATCAGTGAAACTGTGAAATGAACAGAAATGCGTCGGGTAAGCGTATTCACTCGATAATTATAAGCGTGAACCGTAATCAAAGCCACTTCTATTAGACGTAGGCGTGAACGCGTTCACTCCGAGCATATATTTTTCTACAATTTCACTGGTCTTCGCGACGTTTCGAGCATTTCGCGACACAAAAAAAAGAAAGAAGAAAAAAATGAAAAAAAGAAGAGGGAAAAATACTTGTGCCTGAGGTAGGTGAAGAAAAAAAAAAGGAAAAGAGAAACGAGAAGAAACGTTGTCTTAGAACATTATACAGAGCGTGTGTATTTATAAAAAATTATATATAATTAAAAATTGTATATTTGCGTGCGCTGAATAATTTGTCGCGCGGTCGAAGTCGCGCGCGATCTTGAGGATGTCGTTGAAACGCGGGTCAAGGTGGCATTGAATAGTCGTGGACAATTTCGCTCTAACTATGGCTCCGTAGTTTTCGGAATTCCGGGAGAGGACGGCCACGCGCGTTCTCGCGCCATTTTAAACAACAAAAAAGAAAAGAAAAAAAAAAGTGATGAGAACTTATATAATCGACGAAAATTTTTTTGATATTCCACGCCCGAGTGGAAGTCTCTTATACGACACTGGTAATCGCAGTCCCATTTTTTGTTTCCATTTCTATTCTACCGAATCGATTTTCTATTCGATGGACTCTCGTCGCCGGGCCGCGGACGTTCGCGCGAGTTCGCGTCTCTTCGCGCTCTTTTTTTCGTCCTCGACGAAAGTTTGAAAATGGGAAGCAACCTTGGAGAATTCTAGAAAATTCCTTACGATGAACGTGCTGGAACGATGCGATTAGTTTTCTCGTTGATACGCACCGTTTGATCGCATTCGAAGTACAGTAGCCGTAGAAAGTATTCGTGCACCATCTAAAGCGGAACAATTTTTTTACAATTAGGCCGAGCGGTCTGAATTTTTTTGGGACGATAATGGGACCGGTATGCTGGACAATGGCTGAAAAGTTATTTTAAAAAATTGCAATTTGTTGAAACGATAAAAGAACGAAGAAATGATGTTTCCTCGACTTTTCTTTTCCTCGTCCGAGCCTGGAACGAAAATTTAAAAAATACAGATTAAAAAGATCTCGGTGAGAAGTATGCTGAAAGTTTCGTCGAAATCGGTTGACCCTGACACGAATGGTAAGCAATGAAAGATCGCGAATATTGCAGCTTTTCACGAATTTCAAAATCGCGAGAACAAATCATTTTTACATCTTTCTCAGCGACTGTACCTTGACTATGGATTCTGACGAAATTTTCAGCGTCGCGCACACAAGTCACCGCGATCCACAAAATGCATTTTTTTTCTTAAATGTTCGTTATATAGCCTCAGATAAAAAGGTCGAAGAAACATCGTTTCCTTTTCATTATTTTTTTTTACTTTTATCACGCCAACAAATCGCAATTTTTTAGTCCTTATAATCTTTTTTAGCCCTTGTCTAATAAACTAGTAATACTGCAACACCCCCCCCCCCCCAAAAAAAATTGGCCGCGTCGCGCTGACCGCGAGGGCGGAGCGCCTTTTATTGGTCACTGTTTTTTCGCTAATAACTCGTAAATGTTGTTACCTTTTAAAAACTGTGTACGAATACTTTCTACGGGCACTGTACCTTCTACGGCCACGTTCGCCGTAAAAAAACGCGCGAAGCTCCGCGGCCCGATAATCACTATGCCGCACGGATACTGAATTTCTACCTATTATTTATAGTACGTTAGTATTCTCGTACGGATATATGTAATCGTTGATTTTTGTAAGACGCAATCGAGGCCGGCGCGGCCGGAAAGCCGACGCGTTTCGGGAAACGGTTCCGGAATTTAGCGCTTGTTAACGAGACTGGAGAACGCCGTCGCCGACGTCTGCTCTTTTTTTTTTTCCTCTCTTTCCGGTTCGTGAGCAGCTCCGTCGCGCGGCCTCGATTGCACAAATTGTTTATATACACTGTCAGTGGCACAGTCGGCTGTGGGGAAACCGTACAATATACATGCATACGTATGCATCCCTGCGGACGGTACATGCGGCACACGTGGACATTTTTGTACTGTATGTACTTGAGACAAATATAGTTTAATTGGTTCTAGATCCAAAGCGTTCGCTGTATAATTCTGCTTCGTCGTACGCAGACTCCCGAAACAACGTCCGGCGACCCTCGACCGATCGGCGTACAGTGGCCCACAAAAGTGTGGGCGGTACACCTTTTTAAAAAGCGCGATTACTTTTTGTGAACTGAACTGGATGGCTTGAATTTTTTTTTAATTGATACAGGGTTAAATTAAATAGTCTACTGGACGATGACTGAAATGCTTTTTTCTTTTTAATTTTGCTATCACTTAGAGCGGCAAAAAAAATAAAAAAATATAAAATGTTTTTTTAACTTTTTTATCCAGACTTTTGTGGGCCACTGTACGTTAACGCATCGAATTAAATATTTTCCTAAATTAATCTTTAATCTTTAGAGATTAAAGATTTTAGAAAGAAAGACTTTCGAGTCTTTAAATATTTTTCTAAATCGACTCCATTAAGTTTCCGCATTAAAAAAATTTTCAGTCATTTGAAAGCCTCTCGCGAATAGCAGAAAACATCTGGAGTGATCGGAGGTAAGTAGAACACCCTGGATTTAAAAACTACAATGACAGGTGTTACAACACTTTTGTAACTATTGGTAACGTTATACAGGATGTCCCGAAAATGTCTCGCAATCTAGACAATGACATGTGGAACAAAAATACACGTTCAAAATTCCGAGATCGTTTTCTTGACTCCCCCTTTTAAGAATGCTGGGTTGAATACAAGGTGTCACAAAAATGTCTCGTAATCAGGAAACGAAGGGTTCCTGAGGTGATTTGAAGCAACTTTTTCCTTAGCGAAAATGCGCTACGCGGCTTCGTTTACGAGTTATTTGCGAAAAAGACAGTGACCAACGAGAGATCGCGTCCGGCTGACGCCCCGCCCTCGCGGCCAATGCCGCGTCGCGCTGACCGCGAGGGCGGAGCGCCTTTTGTTGGTCACTGTTTTTCGCCAATAACTCGTAAACGAAGCCGTGGAGAAAATTCTTGCAAAGGAAAAAGTTACTTCAAATGACCTCAGGAATCCTCTATTACAAAAAAAAATAAGAACGCATATTTTCTTTCAACCCTTTGCAGTCGTATTAACAGCTGTCAAACAATATGTCAAACAATTAACATAGGTGTCAAGATTAGTTTTCATCGAACGATAAAAAATCTCTGATGGCTGAGAGAGCAGGCAGACGTCCGCAAAGGGTTAACAATTTCAACGAATAATCGAGAATAATTCCGACAACAATTCCGAGACTCCTCCGCCGTGATTACGCGTCGGTCCGAATTTTATAATATTTATCCATTATTTTGCCGTAGATCCGCGAAGCCTCTGCAGTCTAGTTATAGTAACCCAGAGTGAAAATAAAATTCCGCCGGGCAATTTTCGTCCGAGCGAAGCGGATCCATTGGTTTCAATTGTAAACGCTTTTGTCCCGCGGCCGAACAATGTGAACATTTTGGGAAATTGGAAAGCGTAATCGCCACGAACGGCGTGGCACGGTATCACGGTTGAAACCAGGCGGTCGGGTACATCTGGTACCGGTCTACCAGAGCGGGCGAGCATTGAACCAGCGAGTACCACTCGAGAAAACAATAGCGAGCAGCGCTCTTGTTCTGCCCCTCGCTCTCGCCCCCTTCCCCCCTCTCTCTCTCTCTCTCTCTGTCTCTCTGCTCCCTTAGCCTCTCCTCTATCGTCACCCTGAAATCTGGATCCTACGCTGTAGAACCGTTCGTCGGGAGAGCCGGGCTCTGGGTTCCTTTGGCTGGGCAAACTCTGTAGCACCCCTCTTAAGATAATTATAAACTATTCATACACACCACTGGCCGAAAGTTCGCATCCACTTCCGGCAACCGGTATAATTACATATCGCATGGCGAATACGTTTCGATCGTCTGACACGTTCGTTCGTCGCTCGACGAGACGACCGTCGCTCTTTTATATAAATTAACCCTTCGCACTCGAATGGCGACTATCGGGCGCCGCTGAAAGTTGTCGCGCCATTTTCGAGAATTATTTTGACGGTGTTAGATTCGTTTACAGTTAGAAAAACTCTCGA